TTAGTAGAATGATATTCATCGAAATATTATTCTCATTGATAAAAATTAAATTTATCTAAGATAGCTAAAGATTTATTTTCAATGAAATATACAGTCTGCGACAATTGAATTTATATCCTTCGAATTTTTTGTTTTTTTATTAATATACGTTTTTTATCTATTAACCTACTATATATAGAAAGAAAGCCCAGAATGCGGTGCAACTTTTGATATATTTACATTGACCATCAAATGTAGTTTAAAGTATAAGAAGTGTATAAGAAAAAAAGTGACATTTTTTTTCTTTTTCCAAATTTCGCGTATCCGTACTGGTGTAATATTTTTTATTTCGCATATATCTCGGCTTAGATAAATGATAAAACGTTGAACTTTTTTCAAAAGATGCGCCGTGAAAAGCTCTACAAAAGCTACATGATTGAATTCTTTTTTATCTGTTCTAGTGATTTTTCTGATACTCACAATAAAACAACTTACATAGCAGTATCACTTCACATCATGTAGAAAACGTTTCGAGGACTTCTCTGATTCACTACAGGACTTGGTCTATAGAAGTTTTGTAGAGCTTTCGACTGCACACCTTTTTGAAAAAAAATTCCATATTTCGTCATTTTCTTAAGTCGAGATATATGGCGATCAAAAAAGTCTTCCAACAGTTCCAATATGATGGGGTGTGGGTGTGGGTGTGGGTGTGGGGGTATGAGTTTGGGTGTGGGGTGTGGGTGGGTGTAGTCTTTCGTATCAACCATAATCAGCCACACCCACACCCCATATCCACACCCACACCCCATACCCACACCCACACCCCATACCCACACCCACACCCACACCCACACCCTTACCTTGGTTAACAGCCATAAGAAAAGTAATGTAACAAGCATGAGACAGTTCTCGCTCTTAATTTCGACATGTTATGTGGCACTTACAATACATAATGTCTTTCTTAGGTGAAGCAATTTTTTGTGCTACTGAACTCTATATGAATAATAGTTACACATTTTTACGTGTTCAATGGTATTGTAGTAACTAGAAACGTACAGAACCAAATTGTTTTTAGTCCCGCTTAGAAAAAAATCTATTTCAGAATTTATTCGCATGCAACCTAAAAAAAAGTCTTACATGCTTATGTTTTGATTAATTTAGCCGATGAATGTCACTGTTTTTTTGGTCATCCCTCATGCATTTAGCTTTAATTTGATGTGATTCATAACATAATTCGGTAAAAATCATAGAAAAGGCGGCGAATCACTAAGAGGTGTTGCACAATGAATATCGCCGATTCGGTCGACATTTTTACAGTAGGCAGACCTAACAAAGTTAAGGAGAAACTCAAAAATTTCAACTCAAATGAATAAGCCATTCTGGAGATATAGACGTTGTAATTATTAGAGGGTAGGCTGAATTTGAAGTACTTTTCAGAGCAAGATTTTTCAGTAAATTTTTATTTTCTAAACAACGATAAGAGTTATAACAGAGGTTTTTTTACCCGATGGGCTACTATGTAGTCCTGGACAAATTATTTACGATAAGGATGTTGGCTCATTTATTGAATAGTATACTTACTACGTCGTTCCATTTATCTTTGTGATATGTTGTTTGTATTTGTATAGGAACTCTTAGTTGATATTTTCTATGTCAATTGATCATAGACTGACCAATTTCGAGAAGTCTGACGACAAATAATCATAACTTGGTAAAGAAATTCTACTCATGTATAAATTCTTTCTAATCGATATAAAACAAATGTTCAAATTTTCTAATTTGTAGTATACTATGATAAATTTGACATTTTGAATCAATAAGTTCAACATCATTAATTAATTTTTCACACTTTAATGATGTGTCAGAAAACTTCAAATATATGAATATATAAAACAATTAGAAAAAAAATATGCAATCAAATTCTGTACTGTTGATAAGTGTCACAGTACAATACCTTAAATTTAACGTTAACAATGAAAAAATGAATAAGAAACCGTTGGATTTTACTAAGCAAAAAAACATCAACACTTAATAAAGATCTAATAAAAGAATATCCAAATGAGATACATTGTTGACAAAAGGTAAAGTACTTGTCATCATAATATTTCGAATATCAGGTTTTGGTGTTCTGTGAACAAAAAACATAATAATAATGTTGCTAGTCACAAGAAAATTGTTTTATTTAGTCTAATTTAGAAGAGATTTCTTCACCATTTTATTATTTAATGCTCCAGAAATGCAACAACAAAGCATGTCACTGTCTCTGATAAAATAGCGAGACATGCAGCTACAAAGATTCTCCATAAAGATTAGTATGTCCAAAGACCTCAATCAAACTACTTGAACGAGGATTTGTGGGAAATCAAGACATTCAAAACCAAATTTCTGGTATCTATTCGGAGCTTTTGAGAAAAATTTTTATTGAATAGAGTAAAATGACACGTCTTCAAACTCTCCAATAGAGGAGTATTTCAGCTACACAAATGTTTTATATTTCAACAATAGATGAATTATTTCTTATATGTTTTCATTCGATTTTTATTTATTGAGTGTCGATAGTGTCTTTGATCAATGATCTAAAGTTTTCTTAACTTATTCCGGCGATCCACTAAAATCAATTTCTTCTATGGATGCCATTATCTGAAGAAAGGTTATATAGAAAATGTGTTTTATTTTGTATGTTATTTTTTACTGCGATTTCAAAGCAATATGATGCAATAGAAAAGATAAGTCATTCATTTGTTATAAATTCGTATTATTTTCTTCTTCCTATTATCACTTCTTATTTTGGATAATATCGGATCAATACAAAAAGGAAAAAAAGTAAGATACTACGAACTACAAACAAAAAGGGATAAAAGTAAACCTATTTTCATGATTGCAGTTCGAAAGACATTCAACGAACTTATGTTCTTGAATGGATTACATGAATGGCACAGAATTCAAATGATGAATAGTTTTCATGAACGAATTCTAAAAAAATAAAGAGATAAATAAAGTTGGAATTGAAAAAATATTGTTAAATTCTTTTGGAAAATAGATCATATCAATCGAAATAGAGCGAAAAAAATTCAACTTGAAATAACAATATGCTTTTCGACTGAGGTGATGTTGATTTGATGCGTAATAGAAAATTTTAGAATAGTTTTGTTTTTTAGATCCTCGTTATTTTTCAACAGAAACTTGCAGTCCTATTCAGATCACATGAAAAATCGACTTTTGAATTCAAATTTTGCATGAATATGAGATTCATTCTTTGGGGCAGCTGTAAGTTTTCTAGGTTTTTCCATCCTGAGATATTGAATATTCGGAATTTCCTATACTAACTGATCTCGTTAAGAACTTTGTTTGCGCAAAGTTTGAAGTCGAAATTCTATTTTCTAGATGACCTGAGGGAAACTAGATGTTTTTATGCTGAAACATCTAGTAAAATTTTGATAAGGGGAGAATGAAGGCTCGGAACAACCATACTTCGTCAGTCAACTTTTCATATTCTCATCTGATGTTTGTCCTACAATAGATGGAAAAGTTCCTGATAGGATTTTATATAAAAAATTGATCTCATCTTTTTAATATCCAAATTAAAAGCAAGCAAAATTTTGATGATGTGTTGAATAATATTCGGTGATTAGCTTTGTTAAGGAATTATATTGAACATTTAATTATATCCTGTCTTTGCAGATTGCTACTGTTCAAAATGAGGAAAAAGATTTCGCTTTTCTTTGAGAATAGCAAAACATTTGGAGTTCTTTTCTCCAAGAATACTGAGATTTTCCTTAAGATAATTGTCGAGTACTTTCTTGCATCGAAGAAGTTATTAAATTTGATATACAAATGACATCGAAGAAAAATGAAAGATTCTCACAGACACTTTATACTAATTTTTCTGATGGAGGTGTTTATTTCAGTATGACTTCTATTGTAAAGACTTACAACAGAATATTCCTTCCTGTTTTGGATATTTATTAGAGAAAACAATAAATTTCGAAAATATGTGCTCATAAGTTATTTCTAATTCAAACTTTCTCTAATATGAGTAGATGTTTGAAACAACTCCGAAACTGAAACCGATAAAAAGATTTGACTCATTTTTTCTTTTATTTTAGCTAAGAGTTATTCAACTCGAAACCTAACTTTATAGCATGAAGTTAGTTCTATAGAATTCCTTATCTAATTACATATTTATATAGCAGAATGAAGACTGAAAACCTATTACTTCATAAATGACGAAAATATTGATTTTGTTCTGTGTAAACATCAATTAATACAAGTTTAATTCAGTAATATACAAAGGAATAATTAGTATCAAGGCTTTTATACTCTATGTTATCTTGATAACTTTAGAGATGATTATTGAATTGCGTTCATCTATTAAATTTCCATTTGGACTTTAATAAAATTAGTTTTGTATTACTTTAAAAGTAATTCAGTAGAAGTCACTTTTACTTTTCTCATAGCTACGCCAATTGAATCAAACAATTGTTCTTATTTCGTTCGTTTCTCTCATGATTTAATATATCACTACAGTTAAAACAAAGGAAAAAAATCAATCCGAATATTTGGTCACCATACTATTTCATAAGCTAAATAAAACAAACTGAAGATATTAATTATTCAAAATGTAATCAATATCAATAGATATTCAGGTGAGCTAAATAATCTTTCTATTGAAGCACTAGTCTTTATGAACACATGCATTTCCAATTCCTTTCAGTTGTTCAATGAGTCAACATTTTCTGAATATTTTAGTTTAAAAATGAGAAATTCTCATTTGAAATACTTATTTGTCTTGATGATACGCTCATTTGTTTGCTTGAATCGAAACTATTTGACTATTCATCTTCTAATAAATGAATTGGACAATTAATTGTTTTTGTTACATATTTATTAGTTTCTGGTTTGAATAAAAAAGCTCCACTTACTCATTTCATTGCTTTATGAAGACCATTAAAATTTAAACATATATAAATATATTTATTTAATATTAATTAATTTAAAAAAAAGGAAAATTTTCAAACTGTTTAAAGTGCTAAATCTAATAAATTTAGACGAATAATTGAATGTAAATCTGAATCGATGTCTGAATTTCCAAGCGATGTTTGAATAAGTGAAGACTAAAATAAAAATTGTATATTACGAAAATCGATTTAGCTAACTGGTAAAGTACATAGGTTTTATTATTTCCATGATGTGATGAGTACTATTCGATAATGTTGAAATTGATGATAATGAAGATACATGTATGACCATCAATTGAGCAAAGTATTCCAAATTGTTCAGTTTCTTTAATTAGAAAAGTTTTATTTAAATAAAAATAGAGATTGTGTCAGTGCAGCTCGTTGAGGACTATAATGTAGAACTCACATGTGTTCTTTAGTCTCCTTATACTCATATAAAATACCTGAAGTGAAAAATTTTTGCCAGATTGTAAAGGAATGTATGAGATATTAAATTTTACCCGTTTTTGCTTTTAAATTTGCTGTAATTTCATATTTTTAACTATATAACCTTTAGTACCAGTTGAGATAACTGCTTTTCTCATAGTTCTCGGTAGAGCTCGTTGAGTACGGACCTGGTTTCATATTTGATGATGGTCAGCTAACGGTCATCCTCTGATGTAGAGGAGTCAAAATGAAATGTAAAAGAAACCTGATATGTAAGTTGAAAGATCATTATCGATAGTCTTTAAAACAGATGTTGCTAGCTCTTTGGCATCTGCTTGTTGCTCAATAGCAGCGTCTTTTGTGTTTTGAGTGATTCTCTCCATGAACAATTGATCGATTCATAGTGTATAATATGTTGTCAAAAGTATCAACGAATGTGTTGATCTTGAAAATTTCTCGTATCGGAAAAAGTTGAAAATTTTTCCTCAGATTTTGGGAAAACATAGTTCACTTGATGCAGAATTTCATGCTGAGGACGAATATCTAATTGCTTTTCCTTATTTCTGTTTTTTACTCTTAAAGAAACTACAACTTTTTGAAAAAATGACGAAATTCCGTAACGGTTGATGTATTTAAAGTTCTATTTGACACAGACATTTTGTATTAAAAAATAACTTGGTATTCTGAAAGCTTATTAACAACCCTACAACTTTTATAAAGGGTATTTATTTGTATGTCATTTTATTTCGCAGCGAAGTGGAAAACTTCTATTTCCTCTAAAAAAAAAAGCGTTCATTTTTTTGAAATTCTCTAACGGTCGATATTGTGTGAATAACTCACTTCTGGCTCAAC